TTTAACCTTTCAGCTTTTTAAAGATCAGGACACAATACCGATTCTATATACTCTATAAGCTAAAAAATAGAACTTCATAATGTAGTTTAGACTAAGCTTAACAATAACTACGCCGGTTTTGCACTGGTTTGAGTGACCTGTCAAGGTCAAGTGCGGGCACAGTCAGTTGTAGCTGGTCCACATTGTATTTTGTAGCTGGTCCACAGTGTATTTTGTTAAGAAGAAGACAGATCTATTCTATTCCGCTTACATTCCACTGATAATGAACACAGGGTCGGTTAGCTTAGGCACGCTGAGGACATTAGTGATACTGATCTTTGTTTATGACACATGACCCTGCAATGTCGAAAGACCATGAGCCGGGGGCTCTTCTCGATCACTCTTTACAACACTGTCTGAGTCAGGCATGTCCACTGTGCAGTGCAAAACTGACTACATAACTCGACAGCAGCAGCACTACGAAGTTCGGCCAGCAACGTCACACGGTAACAAGCCGCCTTGACGACTGATGTCTCACCTGCCGGGCCGTTCCTCTTTCCCCTCCCCCACCGTCAGCTCCTGCTTGAGCAGCGCGGCTAGCATGGTCACCAGCCCAGCCTCCGCGGCGCGCTGTCCGCCGGTGTCCAGCCTTCACCCGGACGGGGCCGTGCCGTCCTCCTGCCGGGGTCAACGGACGATCCGCAGCCGCCGGCGGCGCCGAGGCGGCCGGGCCGGCGCCGGCCGCGGCCGCCGCGCCCGCCCGGCCAGGGTCGGTCCGGTCGGAGCGCGCCCGCGGCCGGTGCCGCCCCAGTGTATCTGAGCCGAGCTGTATGTGCAGTGATAGTGCGTACCTGATCCATCCACGATTCATGACTCGCGGCATCGAAACATAGCGTTGCATCTTGCGCTGACATCGTTTCGTCACCGGCAGGCTAAATATGTGAAGCTTTTGGCGCAATCATACTTCTGAAGAGTTGTGGTATGACGCGAGCCGATGCAGTTAATAGTTGTCTGCGTGAATGCATATCATCAGGCCGGCGCGGCCTCGCGAAAAACTTTTATACACTACCAGTGCAATGGACCGTGTCAACAACGTGGACGCCTAATTAAACCAAAATCTACGGCACGCTAATCGTTTGTGTGAGGCGTTGCAGAACATGCCACATTTGTTCGCAAGCCAGTGGCTGGTACCATTATATGCGGTCTGTTGTGACCACGTGACGCGCTGCCGTTGTCTGCAGCGGATCACGCCGCTGCCAGCACGCTAGACTCGGATGAGGATCCGATGCCCTCTAGACCAGCCAGAGGTCAGATCTCCCGGCCAAAAAAAATATCTCAGAGATCTATGGTTTCCTCCATCACTCCGTTGTTGCATCAGATTGGACGATTTTCTAGAGATTAACTTCGCTGGAACCATGGCCTGACTTCGACCTACTGCGGGTCGGCGATCTTACAAAGTACATTTAATTTTTGATATCAAACAGTCTGCTATTCAATTGTCTGCAGCTATGCAAAATGTGACGCGGCTACGTCGCGCCGTTCGAAAACCATTCCGTAAAAACCTTTGCGGCGCGTCAGTTTGACCTCCCACTCGAGCGCGTGTTAACTAATGTGTTGTCATTTGGTCTTATTCATCTATGATGG